GGGGGGGCTGGCCGTAGTTAGCGTACTTATGGATTTGGGCGCAAGGGGCTCTGTTTCACGGATAAGTACGAAGCGTTGTTGGTGTCAGGTGACGCGTTCAACAGCCAAGAAAAACTTCGTGAGGCAAGTGGAGTAGAAAATAAGGATTTTGGCACACTAATAAATGTACGTATCCCCCTTGAGACTGGTGATTGGTGATAGAATGTGATAAATTTAAAATATGTAATGGTGAGAAAAAGGATCTTCAACACTACCTCAATGCCTGAAATTCTTTGTCATTCTTCTAAATGGATGATTCTTGAGAACATTTTTTAGTCATGTTTTAATATGTTACTTGTTGGTTCGTAAGTAGCTTCTTCCAAAATAGGAGTTGCTACTACAGTGAAAAGTGATAAAGATGTGATACTGAAATCGGATAGAGTCACAAGAAGCAGTAGCAGCCTCTACCATACAATTTTAACACAAGAATATAAAACAAATACATTCGATTTGAAATACTTGTGAATTAATTCAACACAACAGATTTTAAAATGTTCTGAATACTGGTGTAATTACTCGAGGGTCATGACTCAACAATAATGAGAGAGGGCGGGGGAAGTAGAATAAGATATAATATTTAAGTACGCTAATGCAGATTAGTCCAAAGGGCTTGCTCGCAAATGGAACGGCGAAGTTGGTGGCAACAGCAGCAGTGGCTTTGCAGGGGGCGGCATCAGATCGTTTCGAAGTCGCAGCAACTGGCGCACAACCGCAAGTGACGCTGTAACGCACATATGCAACGCCAGCCAGCCATTCTCATGGTCTTCGAAACTCATCGCTTCCATCATTATAACCTTCCTATAAAAACAATCCTTTTCCAATCTACGGTAGTGAATTATTTCAAGTTTTCACGAAGAAGCCTCAGCCGTCTACAACGATACATTTTCTTGAGTACGTCTGTACAGTACAATCGTCAACGTGGAAAGAATAGTAAGGATGTTTGTTTAAAGTGCGTACGGCAAAATAAAAGCGCTCATTAAATTTGTTAATCACTTACACGGGGGTGCACCGACGATTTCGCAAGGGAGGGAGATTGGAGGCTTTATGTGCAGTGTTCACCCGATTTTATATTTTCTTACGAAGAATTATTTATTTATGCTGAATATATAATGACTTTTTCTTGATGACGTAGATAATATTTATAACGTTAACAATTGATGTATTGAATGTCTTTCCTTACTACAGAAAACTAGTGAAAGCTATATTTTTGAATAAGTGTTATTCCTCTGAAGGAGGAGTTGAAGCACCCCACTCCATAGGGTGGTCTCGACACACGGGAGTTATAACATTAATATTTTACAAGTCAACTAATAGGCAATGAAAACTGGTAAGTATGCAATAAATTTCAATTGGTAATTCAGTAAGATAAATACGAAACACCTTTTTCATTTGTTTAAATATAACAAGAGTATGTTTATCTATTGTGTTAAGATTATTATATCAAAAAATTTAAAAGTTGCCATAACATTTACACCTTTGGAAGACCGTAAGTATTATGATGCATAAATGAAACTCTACCTAAAAATTTCGTTATCTTGAATTGATCAAATAAAGGTACGAAAATGGGAAAAGGAAGATGTGCCATTCACACAGCAGCTTTCCCCTCATTTTGATATCGCTGAGATGTACAGCCTGTCCAAACAAGCAAAAAAGTAATCAAACGAAGCACCTCCGGAAATCACAAGATGTATTATGATTCTTCCCACAGTTGTTTGAATAACATTCCACGATGAATAGCTTGTATTATCACAACAAAATCGATTACATCAGCAGAGAAACATTCCACGGCTTCAAACAAAGATCACACGCCACCACAAAATGAATATTCTTCCCAGCGTCTCCGGAGTGATGAATAACCCTCGGGAAAACATCGTGTAAATCGAATCTCATTGTTTATTCGGGCCGCGTAAGAAAAGGAAGAAAAAAAGTTATGCTTCCAAAGGGACAACAACATACCACACAACAGTTATATCGTATCAGAATAATTCACCTGCCGGGTAGCTTCTTTGAACAGATTGATTTCCTCAAAGAAGAACAAATAAAAAGAAATTAAGAAGTAAAGAAGACCAAAGAAAACAGGCAATGTCATATGATGTAATTCTACAAAGTAAATATTAATTCATGGATTGGCATCATTAAGAGCAGACTACCAATTCAATTTTTGTGTCGCCCATTTAAGGAGGTCGGCAAAACAAGATAAAGGTGTGAATGGATAAACGATTTTCGAAAAAGTCTGCTTGTGAATGACTTGATTGAAAAAGGAGATTTCTATTTAAAAACAATCAAAATATATGGATCAAAAAACAATACCAAAAAAAATCAGCGAAATGTACATCCATGTATGGCTTAAAAGAACAAGAAAAAATCTCAAGCTGATAGAAAATCAAATATTGGTATCGGCAAAAGCTGGTAAAATTGTTCACAGAGTATCCAGTTTAATTATCATTATTGAAGAGGCAAACTAACTTTCCTATAAATAACATTAAACAAATTATGTGCCACGAAAGAATGAGATGTATACGCACTAGATAAGGAGGTTTCAAATGAGGTAGTTTAATTTAATATAATATAACATAACAATATAATATAACATAACATAATATATAACAAATAAATAGATATCAAATGAGTAAATGTTTTGCCTCTTCTAACTATCCAACAAATAAAAAGCTACATTGAAAAAACAAAGAATGCGAACAACAAAGAGGACAAAAGCTTTTTTTTTTTTTTTGTTTTTTTTTGAAAAGGCTAAATTTAATTACATTAATTCCGTCAATGCAGTGCAACATCCCATAAATATTAAAGGCAACAAGCGAAGCCAAGGAAATAGTAAATGCAAAACAAAGCGCCCGCGGGAAACGACGGGGAGCTGGCCGTGGCGTTTCCAGCACCGAACGGCGTGGATCGACCATTCGAGAGGCGTCATTGAGGAGACAGATTGGCCGATTCGAGCGCCGATCGCGGCGCGGAGGCGGGGGCGTGTGCGCAAACTGCGAATGGCGCCGCCAGGCGGCGGGCGAGCGCCTCACGCGCGGCGGCGGGCGGCGGGCGCTCCCGCGGACAAGGCGCGTGACGTGCGTGCCAAGCCGACGGCCGCGCCCACGCCCCGCCACGCTCCACCACGCCCGGCCCGGCAGCCGCGCAGCGCGCGCCGTTGCGCACAACAGACACGGCGTCCAGCGGCCCGGGTGAATTCATCAACCGGCGAGCAGGGAGTCCGCGTCATCGCGCCGAAACCGTCAGTGGCGGATCCAGAGGGGGTCCATGGCCCCCTCCGAAATGCTTACGGTTTTCGTTTGTTACCTACTTTTATTTGGCAAAATTGATTTACTATTTATGATAGAATTACGTAATTAATTACAAATATTATTTTATAATATCATATATACACTACAAGAATTATAAACAATATAATAACAAATGTATATTATTTAACAAAAATCTATTATGGCCCCCTCGAAAATGATCGGCCGGATACGCCCCTGGAAATCATCACGAGTAAAGTTAAACACTAGATATTCTATTTACTGTTTGGAGCAAGTTTTTAATTGTACTGAAGAACGACAATTTTAGGCTACCGGTTTCTAAAATTCAATAAAAATACGTCATCACACTGTCCGCTTATTTGCACCCGTCTATTTTGTATCTCCTTGAAGCAGATAACCATGGTTTCTCTAGTGTTTTGCGAAACGTATTTTTATTGAGTATTATACATTATACATACCCTCTTATTTGCTTTCGAATTTTGGCGTGCTTTCTGACAGACTCATAAAGAGAGAGATCGCAAAAGAAAAAGATGGCGGGAGAGAGGCGGAGGGAGAAAGGTACAAGGAGACGGTGGAGAAAGAGGACCTGCATAGCGGAAGGATGTTGAAGGTAGGGAATTGGAGATGAAGGAGGATATCAAGAGTTTCATAATTAGTGAAAAATTAAATTTAAATATTTTTGTAATAACATGACTTTAGTAATATGAATATCTTTAAGTATAAGAATAAAAGATAAATGCAATGCCAATAAGCTTTATAACATTCACGTGCATAAAGAGTTGCATTACTCCTACATCCTCGAGTGGTATAACGTCTTTCAGAAAACAATGACGAAGCACAATTTTGAAAGCCGATAAATGAAATAAAGAATCGAGGAGTTCAATGAGCTAAGCATACTCTTACGTACAATTAACATTTCATTCACAACCACGAGTTGGGATAACCCCGCAAGAACAATTCATTACGTTTCAAATTTCCGTGGAGCGTTGAGAGTTTCGTAAAAACAATCTGCACCTGCCGCACCCCTTCGGCACAATAACTCACCACCGACTCTGACCCCTTCAACAGCACAAGCCGCCGCTCCAGAAAAAGAAATTCCCAACTGCGCCTGACAAAGCGACCCGAGGAAAGCGAGCGGGGGCGCCGTCGCTTTGAGGTCCGCTCTTCCAGCCCATCGGCTTCCCACGCTCCGCGGAAGCCATCGCCGCCTGCCCCCGCCCCCGCCACCCACGCCGCGCCACCACCTAATACTATTGATAAGTGAAATTTTATTTCTGGCGGCGGCGGCAGAAGGTGCGGCGCCGTTTGATTGGCGGGGC